CTCTGGTTTTGAAGTACACCTACCCTTTATGGTACTGAGTTCATTAAATAACCATATTGATATTTACCAAAACAAGGCAAATAATAATGGTGTTCTGCAATCACTAACAACCAATCAGAGCTCAGATTGTAGCACTCTCTGATAACCAAGAATCTTCAACTTTATTATAGCTTAATTCTGATTGATTGATTGATTAAAATACAGTACAGATCTGATCTCTGTATTGTATTATTGTAATGTATTGTATTTTTCACTGTATACACACATTACCTAAAACACTAGAACAAAATAAAGGCTTAAAAATGCACTGCTAAAGTGGACTTATCATATTTACAGAATGGTGGCCATTTTGATTGATGAGGCAATATTTCATCTGCCTGCTTATTACCATACAATGAGAAGTGCACAGTGACAACCTGACAGGTCCTCTTTAATCATCTGAAATTAAACCATAAATATACATAGCAAAGAATTACATTTCACCAAAAGCTTATTTGCTGCCAGGCAACTGGTTTAACATAGATTATACTATTAACTTTAAAGAGTCTGAAAACAATTACAACTTACAAGGTCATAACAAAGTGAAACTAAGACTTGCAAAAATGATTTACCTACTTCGATTGATGGCTACATCCTTATACTGGCTTTTTATATCACTCAAAGAACTCTGTCAGTGAGTTCTTTTATAGCTGGGTTCCCGGCTCCAACTACTCTCTGCAGCTAGTTTGAGAATATCTTAATTTTGTCATTATTTCTTGTAAGTAAGTAAGTAAGTAACTATCATATACTGGAAATGTGTCAGCACTGCAGATGAACACTGGATTTCCTTGAAGTACAATCCCCCATTTTATTTTTCATTTTTAGATTTAGATAGATGGGGGAAGGGTTATAACCTCTGCCAGATTAATTGCTGTCTGTGCCCTCATTTTGAAGATTACCGTATTTGCCGGCGTATAAGGCGACTGTGCATATAAGACGACCCCCTAATTTTTCTGTTAAAACATAGGTTTTGGGCTATACTCGTAGTATAAGACGAGTATAGCCCAAAATAATGTTTAAATACACCCACTAACCTCCTTGGCGGTATTCCCGAGTGTGGCTCGGGGTTAAT